CATTTCATAGTTCACCTGCGGGGTGGTTAAAATTTACAACCCCAAAACGAGTACAAAACCCTCTAAGCGCTGAAATGAACACACTGATTCTGAATAGAGAGCCGCTTGCCAATCCGGACATGGGATAGCCTCATCGGGTGTAGGTACCCAGTCTGACCCGATCGTCGAAGTTTCGGCGACCAGACTTGTTGAGTCCTGTGCTGCCGTGCAGCTCCTTGCACCCTCTGGGCCGGGTTCCTTGTCCGCTCTGGCACAGGCGGAGGCGAGGTTTTTGGTCATGCTGCGTGCTCAAGAGAGAGCACGAAAGAAACATTTAGGGGAGAATCTTGCATGCACGCGGGCGCCATGATTCGTGGTGCTCCCTGCAATGCCAGGCTGAGATCTTGGATGTCCAGAACACCATACACTGTTGCTTCGATGAACATGGTGGGGCTCCATCGTTCAGCCTACAGCACTTACCAGCATGCCGCAGCTTTCGCTCGTTCGCTGTTCAAGTATGCGATTGCAAGTTTAATGGTCGCCCTGTCCAGAACCGTGCTGGCTCAACATTGACTGCCGTCAGACATGCATCTGCGTACTTCTGTCCCAGCTTCCTCTGCCTCCCGGTACCGTCGCTGTTTCCGGCGCTTGCCCTGGGCCCTTGGCCCGGCAGCAGTATCGTACAGGACATCCTTCCTTGTGTTAGCCTTGTTAGCCTTGCAGGCTCTTCGGGAGGCAAAGCCAGATTCAGCCCTGGTTTTCTCGGAAGGTCGAGAGCCGCCAGATGCCCATGGCTGCACAGTGGATTTCTTAGTATCGTCCGGCAATCTGCAGCTTTCCCGTGGTCAGCACATGTTGTCACTGTGGGATGCAGTGCGCTTGCTAGGCAGGAGGCATGTGAGCAGCGTTTTGTTATTTCCATCTCTGGACGGAAGACTACAGCTGGACACAAAACTTTCACTCGATCTGAAAATCTCTCTGGGACTGTGCGCGCGGAAGGACGCGGAAGGGCTGCGGAAGGCGTTGCTCCGCGGAAGGGCGCGGAAGCAACAACTACGTAAGCCGCCATGCCAGAAGAATACGTTAGTCGAACGAGACTTTAATTTGGACCAGCTACTGTACTGTACTCTTCCAGGGTTCAGGTCTTCTTCCAGTGGAAGTCTTGTTCCCTGGAACGCATGTGGCCCGCAATTGCCGAGAGGAGTTAGCGAAATGCGTCAAGAGGGGTTTATGCTCTTGCGGAAGGGCTCGCTTGCAAAACGGTCCGCGGAAGGGCACGCGGAAGGGACGACATGCAGCGATTCAAAACGCGCCAACGCTTCGAAGCGCGGAAGGCTGCGGAAGCAGTGGCGGAAGGGTGGTGCGGAAGATGTTTTTGCGTCCTTGGGATTGAAACAGAATAAAAAACACAGCACATGGACAAACTGAGGAGTGTCCTGTTTTGCAGAGCTATCCTTCTGCGGGAAGCCTCGTGTCTGAAAAGCATGTTGCAGGGCTGGGATAAAGGCTAAACGCGCGAACATGACTCGAGAGCTGCATGGGCCAGTCGCTGGCCAGACAACTTCCTGCTACTTTGCAGGCCAACCTGGGCTCTTTGGATGAAGCTCGGGCGGAGATCGAGCAGCTGAGGAGCGATCTGGAGCATTTAGATGCTCCTGCAACCTGCACGTTTGGGGCAAGGGCCAAAGAGCGATGCCTGGTAGGACTCGTTAGGACCGAGATGGACATGAAAGCACATTGGAAAAGCAGACGGCCAGAGGACGGAACTGGCTACCTTGCAGCAGCAGAACTGCGACCTCAAGGCGGGGTGCATGGCCTCGAACTTGGGCTCCGCTTGGACACGGTTTCTGCAATTTCGCTTTACTTGCCGTTTCCTGTTGATGTTCAGAAGCAGCTGAACATGGCGGACGACGTGAAACAGGCGGAGGCACATCTTCGTTTGCGTGAGATGACGTCGCCGGGCTGTCCTTTGGTACCTGGCACCTTGATCTGGACCCGCTTGGACAACAGTTGCTCCTGTGCCTGGTCAAAGCTAGAAGTCCTGTCTCAGATCCGGACCTACCAAGAGAAGGTGGACAAGCTCAAGGCAGTGGCCGATCCGAGCAGGATTTATGAGGATAAGGTGCAATGGTGCCACCTCACGACTCACAGGTTGTCCCCTTCAAGCATGGGCCTGTATGCTTCCGGAATTTTCAAGTGCTGCGAAATCCGTACCGGAAGAAAGGACGAGCTGGGCCGCCTTCATCCAGATGATGCTCCTTGGCTGAACAACATCTTCGGGGTCTGGCGATGCTCCAGCGACTCGTCATGGGGTCGGTCTTTTGCGTGTTTCTGTCTCGGCCCGGCACGCTTGTGTTCAAGTTTTACTTCGACATCTGACAGTTTTGCCCGCAGGGCTCTGTGGAGGGGGTGGCGCACATCATGGACAAATGCCTGGCTCTGAGCGTTGAAATGGTTGTTGCAACGCCAAGGACCATCACTGGTACCCCCCCCCCCCCATCACCAACAGATTCCTATGGTTTCCTGCTGCAGGTACGGTCTCTTGGATTTCAGGGCTGCTGGGGATGGGTTTAGGGGCGCAGAACCAGCATCACGAGCATAAGCCAGAGCATTCGTGCACCACGTTAAACCAGCGTCACGAGCCCACACCAGAGCGTCACGGGTATCCCCACCGCGTCACAGCTTGGCAAGAAAACTCACGAAAACGCCCAAAAAACCATTTTTGTGCAAAAGTGCTGTACTGTCGCAAACACGAAAACCCCAATCTTTGGCAGTCTTGGATGCTAGGTTCCCAGGCCTCCCAAAACATCCCAAAACATGGCGTTTTGGGGCAGTACAACAATTTCGCAAGGAAGCTAGCAAAAATGTTGTACTGTCCCAAAAAAACCAATCGTTTTTTGCGAAAGTGATGTACTGTCCAAGAAACCAAAGAAACCAATGGACATCTTGCCCCTCCCAGGACCTCAAAAGATGTATTTCTTTGCAACGGTACAGTAGTTTTACCAAAAACTATTGTTTTTTGGGACAGTGCAGCGTTTTTGCAAGAAGACTAACAAACACGATGTACTGTCAACAGAAACACTGCTGTTCTGTCCCCCCAAAACCACAGAAGCCAATGGACACCTTGTCCCACGAGGTCCCAGAACCTGAAACGATTATTTTTGTTGGGTTTTTGGAGCAAATTTGCAAGAAAGCTAACAAAAACGCTGTACCGTCCAAAAAAGCCAAATTTTCGGGAGGCTTCCAAACAGAATTGGCTGAGTGACCTGTGTGGCGCCCGCGCGGTGCAGACTTTCTTCTATTGAGCGTTCTAGTTTGCAGAGGAGTTGTGTTCTGCCACCTCCCTAACAGCTGGATTTTCTATTTAACTCATGGACCCACTGTTTGGCTTCGAAAACCTTGAATCGCAGCAATGCATAGGGGGAAGCAGTTTGCTCACCTGGTGATGAAGAGGGAAATTAAATCATGACAATCACTTGTCAAACGTTTAACGATGACGTCTATTTTTGCTTCGATTGCGTTTTGTCGGTATGTAGATGCCTTTGATGTTTATAAGTTTACTTTGGTGGAATTTGGTCGTCTAACCGTCATGTGAGACTGTACAACACTTACAACCACTACCACTGTTTGTAATTGTTTCTCAGAGACGGTAGAAAGGTGTGTTTCGTTTTTGGCTGAAGTCTAACCCGTGATTTAATGTTTGGGTGAGAAGTGTGATATTTTATGATTGTACACTATGAAAGGTGCTGAGTAAATGAAATAAAGTAATGTAATAAATCTGTCTATGAATGTTGCTTCCTTAATTCCATCTAAATAACTAAAACTGAATAGATTTTTGGCTTTACTTGGCTTTTTGAGAGGATGAAAAATGGCTTAAGGGCTTAAGGCATTGTACCAGGAGTGTGAGTATTATTAGCATAAGGGTAAGGTGGTAGTAGTATAACAGGATGAAGTTTAGAGCCTAAAGGTTAGTAATAACAATGGTTGATTACTAGTAGTAGTAGTAGTAGTAGTAGTAGTAGTAGTAGTAAAGAAATACGTATAATTATACATGGAACATGAAAATACGCATAATATTCGGCCATATTTCAACAATAAGTAGTTGAAACAAAATACAAGGGTAAGTACATAAGCAAACAAACAAGTATGTCTGCCTGTCTGTCCGTCCGTCCGTCGGTCTGTCTGTGTGTCTGCCTGTCTGTCTGTCTGTTTGTCTGTCTGTCTGTCTGTATATATGTAAATATGTATGTATGTATGCACGTATGTAAATATGTATGTAAGTATGCACGTATGTATATATGTATGTATGTATGTATTTATGTATGTATATGTACATATGTTTATGACCATGTATAATCACATGACTGCAACAGTTTACATGGTAAGTATGCGCAGGTACATGTACAGATATGTATATATATATATATGTGTGTGTGTGTATGTATTCATGTATGTATCTCGGTCGGTAGGTAGGTAGGTAGGTAGGCAGGTAGGCAGGTAGGTAGGTAGGTAGGTAGGTAGGTAGGTATGTACGTATGCTTTGGGAAAATGCCATTTTCCAGGCATCCAGCCCACTAGGATATCGACATCCTCCCAGAGAGACAGAGAGTCACAGAAAGAGACAGAGCGAACGAGCGAGCGAGCCGCCGAGCGGGGCACAGGCGCGAACCTGCTCCTGGACTTGGAGGAGACCGGACTCAGCCGAGGGATGGTAGGATTCGGATGGGTTCGCCCGAACGTATGGTCTTAGCAAATCTCGGGGTTCGATGTGGTTGACGGCCGTGTTTGCATCACAACTTGGATCTGTGCTCGACATTGTCCATACATTGTGGATGTAGATGCGATGTGGGTCTTTGGGTTCAGCAGGGTGCACGTTCTCACGATGCAGTTGTGCTTGTCAAGAAGTGCTCATCTTGTTGTTGATGTGTCACGGGGATTTTTGGCAAGCTCTGAACCGCGCCGCCGTTCACAGTTCTATTCCGTGACCGGAAACCCCATTAGGTCACGGCCTTGCCCCGAGCATGGCAGTCGTACGTGCTGCTGCGCTTGCTGGGCTGTTGTTGGAGTGGATAGAGTGGCCAGTTTTTGCTTTCAGTCACGAAGATACAGAATGTCGGACAGGGGAGACGGAGTTTCCTGCATTCCTCCAGATGGGGCTAAACCTGCAGTCTCTGGGTGCAGAGAGCAGAGGTCAGGTTTCCACTCTACCAGCAGATGTACGCGGACGGGGTTTATGTCCCAGTTTGTTTCCAAGATGCGATTCGCTGCCTCAGATCTGCGAGAATAGCAGCCCGAACATGTTTCGACTGGGGACGGCCAGTGCAGGCAGTGCCCGCGATCCTGAAAATTTGGCACTGGATTTAACGAATGCTCTCCGAGGTGGCATGATCCAAATTCTGGTGATGGCATTATTTAAGCAAGGTGCATACACAGACGAGCAGGGGCTCTTGGCGGAGCGGGCCACTCCACTAGAAGACTCCAGCTCTACGCTACTGGAGCTGCGGTTGTCAGGAGACGGTCGGAGCGTGGACGTGTACAAGCCGGTTATGGACCTACGGACTTCGGATCCGCAGTCGAGGCACGCTCTCCGAGCTGGAATTGGGAACGGACTGCAAGCCTCCCTACCAAGGCTCCACTGCATAGGTGCAGCAGGCGCAGAAGATCGCATCATTGTGGACATGAGCAGCTTTCTCGAGCTTGGCTTCTTCGTAGTTGACACCGGGGATCTCGGCTTCGATGTTACGGTCATCAAGGCCAAGGAATTTCCCACCAACCTCGACATCACTGCAGACTACGGCCCCAGTGTGCCGCTGCTGCGTGTGGGCTACTCTGTTGTATTGCTACCGGAGACGGCAATGGAACCCCGCGAAAATGACGATCGACTGCTGTATTTCGACACACAATATCAAGACAAGGGCAGCCACAAGAAGAAGGCACGTGCGCTCCTTCAATCTAGGCTGAGCTGGGGTCATGAATGTCGTCAGGGGCTTTAGGACCCCGCCTGTGCCGAAGTGCCCCGAGGAGACAAAGCTCCTCTGTACTTGGCTTTGCAGGCTCACCAGAAACTGAGCGAGGCTGTGGACAGCCACATCTCCATGATCTGGAGGCCAGGCATGCTGCAGTCATGGGTTGTCGATGTCTATTTCGAACTTTGATGATGTGTGTGTGTGTGTGTGTGCAATGACACATTTTGCTACAGTTTGCTGCACTTGCGGCCTTGAAGCAGAGGGAAGTTGCGGACTTCTGATCTGGGTCGCATGCCTCCAGGTATAATCTTCGACGGTTGCCGGGTCATACCATCCGCAACTCAGCCTAGAAGTGGTGAAGCTCGTTTCCCAAGTTATCTTAAGCGCAGCATGCTTCATGCTGTCGGTATGCAGCCCCGAGCATTGAAGCACCCGGACACCGACTACACGCTGTGATCGTTGACATAACCAGCATACAGCCGTGAAGCTGCTGCCGAAATTGCTGGTGCTGTCGTTGCAATCGATTTCTAGCCAGACTCTTGCCACGGCGACAAGGGCTCAGAATTGTCATTCACTGGAAATCGGAGTCGTGTCTCAAAGGGGTTGGGCGCATGTCGGGTCGCATTGGCAGTTTCGGGCATGCTCTCACTGCCGATGCCCGCGCTCGAGGCTTCTATGTTGACCCAAGCGTGCCTGCGAGATGGCGGCCCTACTTCAAGCCGCTCAGACACAGAGCTCTTGATTGTGAGTCTTTTTGTGCCCACAGCCCCTGTTTTCAGGAAGGGCGTCGAGGCTTGGAATGAGGCCTTCACTTTGATCGAGCGGCCGCAAGCTGTGCGAGCGATGCTGCCGGAAGACGAGGCGAGCTCGTTCCGCAAAGTCATTGTAGATCCAAGGAAGAATTGGGTCCGTAAGTCCGTAACGCCAGTCAGCCGTGCATCATGGTGAGCATGCATCCGCAAATGTTCGGTTTGAAGAATCAGACGCGAAGTGAATATGAGTTGAGTTCAGCTGCGGCCAGGGTTCTCTGGGGTTTCTTGATTCGGGAGTCTGAATGATGCAGGATTGGCCAGCTGATTATGACATGTCCGACGCTCGCTTTAGTGCGATCACCTGGGACACTTCCGAGGCCGGGGCAAGGAGTTCTTTGAACGAAGATTTCGGCCAAGACTTTCGCCCGGCTTTCGTTTGACTTGGCATCGAAGCGAGACCCATAGATGAAGAGAGCTGAACAAAATGGATACTCCGCTCCAGTCACATATATGTCTTGACAGGAAACTCTCAGCATGGGCATCGCGAAGGCGGGGAATGCCAATCAGTTGTTCTCATCTCTCTCTCTCTCTACAAATCGCAGTTGGGGAATTGTGAAATCATTTTCTTATTTCGAGTGAAAGAAAACCTCACAGGTGGATCCCAGAAGCGGGGAGATCCTGAAGTGCGACGTGATCATGGGAGACTCTTGGGTGAAGACGTACCTGGACGAGCTCGAGGCGCGGCTGTGATGTGCCAAAGATACGTTCCCAGACCCTTGCCTCTTGCATTTGCAGATGGAGTTTGTGAACTTCACGAACTTCCTCAGCAAGACGCCCTCGGTGTCGGTGCTCTTGCACCAGGATGTAGTCGAGCCTGGCCAGACCTCGACCCGCAGGACCCGCAATTCGGAAGCCTCTTTTCCCAGCCTGAGCCTAAGCTCGTCACTCAACTGTGTCTTCCTGCAACCCCTTGAGGATCCTCGAGCTGCTGCAGCAGGGTAGCACGGACCGGAAGTCTCGCAGTTTCGGCTTTGCTGCTGTGGCTCTGGCCGGATTGCCATGGGCTCTTCTCGACAAGGGTGCACGAGAGTCAAAGGGTTGTCTGTGGGCCGCAGTTGTCAAGAAGTAAACAGATGCTGAAGCGAGTTGTGTGGAGGAAACAGCTCACATGTCTTGTGCTTCGTCTCGGACTGTAGAGCGCTCGCATGCCATGTGTGCAGCAGCGTCGTTCTGTAGAATCTCCGACACCACTGCACGGTCTTCAAGGCCTACATGCAGAAGCGGCTGCGGCGCAGCGAGCTCGAGGTGGGCGTCTTGAAGTCGATGTCACCGCATACCTCGACAGTCTTGCCCGCAAATCGCAGAAGCTTGATGCCGACGGCTCCGGAGTGTCCTAGACTCCATATGCCAGAGTTAGAATTTTCAGGGCTTCTGAAGCGAGGCTGCCTCTTTCACATGCGAATGTTCAGAGCTGAAGATTTAGTCGTATATTCCCACGGGTGCCAAGTAAATCAACCCTAGACTCCAACGTCAGGCGGGCAGAGGGAAAAGGGGGCATGACAAAGACATACCAGTCGTATTGCTGGTTTCTTGCACAACGCATTCGGGTGCTGAGATGCTGGAGGCGCTGCTGGGCTCAGGGCTGCAGGAGATCGTGACACACGAGGCACTCTACGGATTCTGTTTGCCTCTCTTCGCATTCGACATTCGCGACATGGATGCGTCTTTTCGGCGGCGTTCGAAGTTTCTGCAGGTTCCTGAGACAGGGCCTGGGCAGAGGATAAATTGTACTGAGCGCCACACTTTTCTCCCACATAGCCACTGGCATCGTGCAGGTTGGTCACTGCTTGGGATTGCGGCACAACTTCAAAGGCTCTATGGGAGTCAGCCGTCACCTCAATGCAGGGTTTGATGGGATGTGCTTGAGGAGACGTTTACATGCAAGACCTCGAAGAGTATGGTAAATCGCTTTTCTGCATTTTGCTTCCCTCTGACACGCAACAGATGAGGCTTACAAGACTGTAGCTAGATCCCCAGTCAAGCGGGCTCCAGGATACTGTATTCGGGCTCTTGTGTGCGTATGGCATCTTGGCAGTGAAAATGCTTAAGGCCACGAGTGCCTCCGGGACCTTCATTGCACGGCCGTTCACGGCACCACCGTGCCTTGGCAGACTCTGTTTCTGTCCGGGCAGATCGCAAGGATTGTGGGTCTCCACCCGCAAGCTTTTGGGACGAGGCTGCTATGTCGCTGCCTTATCTCTTCATTACCTTTCGATCGAGGCCAGCGTCATGGACTATGTGCCGGTGAACCTCCCGAGACCTGGAGATTCGCTGACGCACGTTTGGACGCTTGGCCGCTACACGAGGCAGAAACCAAAGCCAAAACCAACCAGGCGTGGCTCAGCAGTGTCGAGCAATATAACAGTGGTAGTAGCAGCAGCAGGAGTGGTCGCAGCAGTCGTCGTAGCAATCATAGCAGTCACAGTCGTAATCCTTGTCGCAGTCGCAGTGGCCGTGGCCGTCGTGGTGGTGGTGGCGGAGGGGGGGATGAGGAGCGGGGGGATGAGGAGGAGGAGGAGGAGGCAGGCATAGGAGCAGCAGGAGGAGAAGAAGCAGCAGCAGCAAATGGGATGAGTGCAATCATCACCGCCAATCATGTTAACAGCTGGAAATAGGAGTGCTATCGAAGCCAATCGGTGGACTTGACGAGAAGGGAAACATAGCACGACTTGACGAGAAGGGAAACATAGCAACGGTACTTGTACTGGTGACGCGCAGTATCGTTGTTCGTATTTGCTAGTTTTGTTGTTTCGACGCCCTCGCAGTCCGCCTCATGTTGGCCAAGAATAGGTCTCCGACTATCGGTGAGTACGACAAGCTGGCCATCCGGTACGGATACACGCACATACAGAGTCCCCTGGATGCTAGCACCGAAGAAATCCTGGAGGACCCGGAGCTTGAAAGCCGCCACTAAGGGAGTTGTTTCAATTGTCTTGTCTGCAAGCGCCCGTAACAAGTGCAGGAAGTCCGCAGGCGTGCCGAAGGCATCCAAACCTGCTATGACGATGATTTATATTTGGGCGAAGATCCGTTCCGAGTCTCAATAGCCTGATATTTTGGGTTGATGCTGCGTAGAGAAGCTTCGGCTTTGAGCTCTGTGAGGTCTTGTTTGGATTATGACCTGTCTGCCGACCCTGTGCACTACTGGGACCAGCAGCTGGATCTCTACGCGGACATCCAAAATCATCTGCTGGAGATGTCGGTTGCACCATCAGAATCCTATAGCCTTTATGGCAAGGCAGTGCACTCTGTCGTCGGTGGGTTCCTCCCGGAGATAGGCATCAATGCGGTGTATTATCTCGGAGGGATCAACAACACGTACCTGCACAAGTACACTGATCAGACCCGGCGATCAAGGTTGGATGCGAGAAATTGGGTTGTAGGCAGTGAGGAGGCAGGCATCCTGTAACAAGAAATTGTAGCAAGCTCCTTTGTTTTCGGGAGTTGTGAGGATTGTGAGGATTGCGTGCAGCATCTCACAGCTCTAAGCCGTCTCGCAATTGTCCCGTGAGGCAGCCGATGCCAGCGGAGACGCAGCGGCGGGCACTGGCCGTCATTCTGCGTATCTTGCGCCCAAAGACAGAGGGCTCCTCGGGCTCAAGAACTTCGTAGCTGGAGTGGCTGAACATCGCCTCTTCCTTTCCATTAGACGCCTCATCAGAAGGGTGCCGATGGACCAGGGTGCGTCATTGCCCATCGATATTGCATCTTGAGAAAAAGCTTCCCAAACGCAGAAAGGCCTGAACTGTGAAGTTTGTAGACTCCCTCGCCGTCGACTTGAAGCGGTGGCAAGCAACCGTTGGAGAGTGCGTGGAATGCCTGTTTAATGCATCACTACTCACTAAGGATTGCTCCCGCCCGCACCCGAGCTGCAACAGATTTGTTGGTCTTGGGAACGTGCCGTGCTTTCGAAACAACGCATAGTGAACTGCGGAAAGACAGAGTCCCCCATAGTCCCCCAACCCCAGGCGCTCGAGGGTCCTGGGCCCCTGGACTCAGGCTTTCAGTCCTAGGGCGGTGACTGCGCGAGCTTTGTTACTGCTCTGAAGAAGCACTGCATCCCAACAACGAAGTGTGATGCCATTCTATGCAAAAGCCTCTGCCCGGATCTTAGGATGCCAACCTGCCGTACCTGGTGGATGGCGACCAATTGCAGGGCGTCGGCTGGCCTTGATATTGTAGCAGTGTAGCCGTTGTGGCCGACAGCCGTACATGTGAACCTTTAGACGAACGTTGAGTATCGTAAAACGCCAACAGCTTGAAGTGCAGACTCGACATATTTGGCCTATCGACACCGTCGATGCGAAGTTGCAGAGAAATGCGACCGGGAAAGTGCGACTTTCATTTCCCGTGGGGCTTCAGTTGGTTGCAACGCACTATCAGAGTTCTTGGCCCCGTTTCCCCAATTCCTTCTTGGTCTGTCGACCGTATCACGCTCGAACTAGTGCTTGGGAAGTCGGTGCAGAAGCATGCATTTGTCACATAGTCCCCGTTGCGGTACCTGGAGCCAAGGCCATCGAGAGCCTGGACCTCACAGGTCTCGTACGCCGGCTGCGAAGGCTCTTGCTGGAGGCAAAAGCTCCTCGTTGTTGCTTTTTCCGCGGCCCTGGCCTTTGAGACACTGTCGTGGCTTCATGTTCTCGGTCTTCAGAGGTTTCCGTTGAGGGTAAATTTCAAGCTTTGGGAGGGCTTACGGCTGGATTGCTCGCACAGGAAGCTCTGCGCTCCGAGCGGCTGCTGCAACTTTACAAACAGGACAGCCTTTGCCCCAGCTCCGGCGACTAGACACAGCGAAGTAGCCAGTGCTGCCGAGTTCTTCAACCACTTGGTTTGAGTGAGAACTTTCAGACGTTTTCCTTCTTGCCTGTTTTGATGCCTCCTGTACTTGGGGCAGGTGCGCAGAGACAAAGGATGTATCTAGCAGTGGTAGGGGCTGTAGAGGTTGTTCTGTAGAGTGTTCACGCTTTGAAAGGAGACCCTTCTGATCGCCGGAGAGGCGGAGGTCTTCCCCGTGTCGGAGTTTCTGTCTACTCTCGTTTATGGAGTCATGAGCGCAGGGCTCGACAGGATCACCTCGGATGACGAACGGGATCTTCAGCGGACCTTCGTGCAGATTTTAACTTCCAAATTTCCAGCACAAGCACAGGTCCTCCCCGCGGAAGTCATGACCCAACTGCAGTATTTCCACAGCTTCGTTTATGAGATGACCGAGGGTGCTTTGGATCGTCTTCCCACCACTGCCCGAGGGGCCGAGTGGGCTTTCTGCGCAGCTTTCAACAAGACCTGTACCTGCACTGGCCTTGTCCGTGTGAGGCTGGCAAACATCAGTAGCTCTGGGCAGTGGTCCGGTACAGACAAGGCGTGCCTTCCTTCGCACTTCGCGATCAATGCCTCGACAGATCAAACCTCCTGGTGTGAGTGCCTCTCCTTGACGAAGACGGATCTGGACCAAAGAGAGGCTCAACGATTGCACGTGGAAGCGCTCAGACACATGCTCAGGCCGAGGCACAGTGCCTTGGATGGGCTTGCGTAACCTGTACCCGAGGGCTCCTGAAGCAGTGGTGCGGCCAAGAAAGGGACGAGCCAACTTCACCCATTCTGGTCGGAAGGGCTTCGGGACACCTTTTTTCTTCGGATCATGTTGTTGTATCTTACAGCACTTGTTCGTCCGACGTATCGCGCTGTGCCTTCAGATGTAAGAGGGTTTCGGATCCTGTGACATATATTCCGGGAAGCATCCAGATTAGAGGTTCTTGCATCATCTTGTATCCTTTTCACACTGCATGTAGGTGTGGCTGCGACATGCAGACGCACTCGGGAGAGACGAGTGGAACACATCGACTCGTAGTAGGTGCAGCAGCTACAAGCCCGGGGCTGGAAAGCGGTGTATCGAGTTTGTGCAGTCTCGTCGTCCCGCGGGGCGACTTTAGGTTGCCTTCAATTCCCAGCGAAGCAACATGCAGGCAACAACCATTCCAACATTGGGGGTTAAGGGAGACTTGATTCGTTGTTTACTCGCTGTTGCCTCTCTCTGTAGCCTCTCCGTGTAGCGATCGCCGCAGTTGCCATCACCCGTCGGCACACAAAGCCCTGTATCTACTGACGTGGTGCCAACATCGGTGCGCAAGCGTCACCTGACAATGTCGTTGAAAAATTCCTGCCAAGAACTTGTAGACTGCATTTGTCGTGCCTCATCTTCGCCAGGAGGAGTCCGCGGTCCAGACTCAGATCCTTCAAGACATGTGGCACTCTGAGTGGAACGATTGAAGGGACATCTCTGTGCCTTGTCTAGCCGTCGTGCAGCCCTTGCCTTGCAGTTCAGGAGTGACTACACGGCGCACATCGTGCAAGAGACGGTTCCAATCTTAGCCGGGACGAGGGAAGTCAAACGGTTCCGGCAGTTTGGCCCTGGGTCGAGATGCCGGAAAAACACAACCACCTGGAAGCGCAAACCCTACGACTACGGCTTGCGTACATGCATGTGGGTTTCTTGACGACTTCGTGTTGGAGCGACGTGGCCGAGGATGACTTGGACCCCTCGAAGATCCAGCTTCACCGGCCTGGCCGAGTGATTGAGCTTCCAAACGGAGAGCTCCAGCCAGACTCCAAGCGGGTCCAATTGGGTGGCTCCTGCCTGTGATAAGAAGGGTCTCGAGTCGCGAGGCTCAGACCATATTCAGTGGAGGAGTGCGGAGCTCAGCCGGCAGTCAGGGCCTGCGGAGTGCAAGCACACAGGTCTTTACGTGATGTGGTGTGATGTGTAAGACTGTGGGGTGCCGCCGTCTCTGAGCATTTTGGCGTCTCAAAGAGCTCAAAATCGCACATTAGTTAGGATCTACAGTAGGGCAGACTTTGGGAGGTCCTTAGAGAACCACATCGCATACGGGTTGCTCAGTGAAGGAGTCGCCTTTTGCCTGCGAGCGATGGCTTTCCAGGATGCATTTTACTTCGACAAGAACGGCTTGGGCATCCAGATTGCATCAAAGCAACCCCAAGTTTATGGAAAACTGCCACGGACTAGGCATTATAGGCACCTTACTTATCGAACTCGCGGGCGGTTCAGTATTTAGCATCGCAGCGCTTTGGCCTAACCCCGACTCACTAGCGATTCCACTCCGTCATGCACACTGCACTCGACGCCTTTTTCTGGAATCCTCAAGCCCTCCCAATGCTTGTCTCGTAGATTTCTTGTTTCGGAACACTACCCTGACCCTCGTAAAGCATAGTTTCCGCGAGCACGGCACGGGTGCGCGTGCAAACTCTGCCTGCGAATTTGGATTGAGAACTGCTGAGGCTTGTCGGAAGACCTGCCCTTTCCTCTTGACGCGTCTCTCTACCGGGAGATCAATGTCGGCGATGCCCTGGACGAGCGCGCGCCAGAGTTGAATGCTGTTTTTTTGAGGCCTCGACTGGTTCAGGTGACCCCGCCCCGTGCGACTTTGGGCTTGCCGAACACCCTCCTCACGTCACAGCATCAGCATCCAGGTCCTAGCTCAATACCTTGGCCCAAGACTGGTGATGGGGAGCCCCGCCATAAGGCAGTGAAGGTGAGCAATGCTCATCACAGGAACCATCGGAAGGTTGCACCACGGCGACACCACCGCATGGGACGGGGTGCCTTTGACTTCACCGTTGTGTTCTCCGGCTATGACCACGACAAACATGCGGACTTCGAGCTCGTGCCACGGGTCATCGGCAAGGGTGGCTGCAACATGCTTCCTTTCCCGCGCATGGGTGCCTCTGCTCGCGTTTGTGGCCAAGGTAGCGGACTTAGTGAGAGCGAAGCGAATGCTGGCACTCATGGTGAACCAGATGATAGACTGCAGCTAGTAGTCTGTTGCAGCACGTCGCTTGGCAGCACTAATCACAGCGAAGTCAGCCCAGTTGTAGCCTGCTGTACCTCCCTTTCGTAACCCTCCGAGACCAGAATAGAATGGGCAAGCACTCCTGCTCGACACCCAGGAAGGATGTCATGGACGAGGCCATGCAGTGGGCACAGAATTTCCTCGGCGAACTTCGAACTCATTTCCGCCGCTTTTGTCGTACCTTCGGCTGCAACTTTGAGTAGTGTGATGTTCATGGCTTCTGCGGCACAAACCATCGGAACACACAGTCTCCATACTTTTCTTTACATCGGAACATTTCTTCAGTATGTGTGCCTTGTCCATTTGACGAGCAAGCATACTCCTTCTGAGCTTGCTGAGGCAAGAAGGGCTTCCCTTGCCCGGAGTTGTACTGCATGTACAGCCGGAGCGACCATGACTGACAGGGCCCAATCCATTCAAGGTGATCCCCTCACAGAAACTGTGGTCAAGGCCGAGCAGGCTATAGGATTCTTCAGATGCTCGTGACGTGGAGCTTTTGAAGCTGGGGATCACTTCGCTTCTCAGCTCTCAGGTGCTTGGACAGGCCCTGAGGCTGCTAGAATCCGCTAGAACACGCACAGCGCCTGTGGATGAGTAAGATGTTCAATTACCGATGGCAATCACAGCCCAGAGCAGGCACTTCAAGGACAGCAGGTCGAATATTTGTGCTGAGTCGTGATATTGGGCTGGTAGGGGTCACGGGCTGTCCGCGGCTGTGGATGTTTGAAGTGCTCGTAAGCCATCCCTCCCCTTGCAGATGCCAGTCTGCAAGGCAGGGTCAGTGCCACAAGTAGCCTGACTCTCCGTGGCATGGCACACCGTGGGAGTCTTGTCGCGCGAATGCGGTTGCTTGACTAAGTTTGCGCACGGAGTCATGGCACACCCAGAACCGAGACATTTGTTTCAATTGCCCGTATATTACCGAATTCGAGCCGTGCTGCGGTCAGGTGGGGGCAATGTCCGAAACCCCGAGTTGGCCCCTGGGCAGACTCTCCGGAAAAGCCTTGATAGAGAGAGTCGCCCACTGGCAGGCCTAGATGGGATGTGATGGGGTTCTGTGTTTTCCTCCATTCACGATGGTGACAGTTGGCGCTGACAGGCTCGGTTTGGATCAATTTTTCCGCACCACAGGAACAGCCTCCTCTGAAAAGGTGCGGAATGCGAAGGATGAAGCAGGCTAACGCCTGCCACCAATTCATATCAACAATGCGACCCGCAGGTCTGCTAGCCGCTGGCCTGCGGATGGAAAACGGGAAGCTGCTGCACAGGTAAGTATGCTTTTAAGTTCCGGCAGAAAAATTCTTCTTTTCTCCCATTGACCCGCGGTGTATTGTGACTCCTGACTTTCATATCTGCTGCCTTGCGATTCTGTTTGTGTAAGTCGGAGCTTCTTCCTCATTGAGTGCAATGAGTGAGTGCATGGAAGCGCTTGGATGCGCCGCCTTGTGATCGGCTGGTCCCAACTGAACAAACCGTTTGCGAAGCGAGTTGCCAACGGTAGACAAGTGCTCTCACGTTGCTGCCATTTTTCGTGGGACCCCGCCTGGATTCGCTGCCCTCCAGTTCCGGTGGTAGCACTTGCTTTGCTCTGAGGGATAACATTCCCTAGTGCCACGCATATTCCATTTACTGCAGCATGCCATCATATGAACATGCAGATTTTCAGAGTGTGTGCCGAGAACGGCTACGGCTATTGGCAATCAGATCAACAGCTCTCCCATCTCTGCAGTTGTGGAATCTGGTACAGGCCTGCGCTTGACATGTTCCGTTTCGAGCGCTACTTGAGACACCGTGAGACATAGTGACTGGTGGAGGAGTCTGCGTTGGAGTGCGAAAAAGATGCCGGCACCTTTTTGTGCACCTGCCTGTTTGGGGGAACCCATTTTCCAGCATGTCTCAGCACTCGGGCTAGCGCTCTTCTGGCAGACCGGAGTAGCAGTACTCGACATCAAATTGCTGAGGCAGTCCACTCAAGTCATTGAGACTGATCTGCTGAAGGCCCGATTTGCGGAGTCTTTCTGCATTTTTGAGGAAGTCAGAAGACTATCTCTGCACCAGCTTGCCACTCCTGGAGATGGAGCTTGTGGTACGGTGCCCATGAGCCTCCAACATCCACAGACATGCTTGCCGCGCATGACATTTTTCGGATCTCTGACTTGGCAGCAGTGGATTGTGGGATTTGGGGTCGCCTTGGTTGGTCTTTTGCGATTTCTTCGCTAGTCTATAGAGGGGTGTGCTATTTTGCGCAGGTGGATAACGACGCGCCAGTCAAATACCGTACGCCTCAGCCCCATCGCTCTTGCAACTCGGAGCTCGCTGGGTAGTATCTGTATCAGGTCTGACGACGTGGTAGTGAGTCTTCTTGCGCGGCGGTTGCATGTTGCACCACAGACCTGGCATTTCTCGTCTTCAAGGCCTACACTGCGCAACATCTTGGCAAACTTCCAAGGTGATCCGCTAAGCCGCTAAGAGTGCACGGGGGTCGTCTTGGGTTACTTTTGGTTAGCGGCGTGCATCAGTTGAGGCCAACCGGAATGTGTCGGAATCATGCCGTTGCGTGCTGCACCGTTAGCTTGGCCCCCCCCCCCCTCTGTAACGCAGGTCGGGAAGTGAAGAAGATGACTGTGAAGGACCAGGGCTAATGACAGTCGTGGTGTAAGGCTTTCCAGGGGTGTCAGCTCTGCCGGGTCGGCAAGTTGAACGCGTTAGAAGCTTTAGATCGCCCGACAGCGGGCTGTGACTGGTGACTCTGTGACGTCCCGGAGCCGGAGCGAGCGTCGAGCGTGCAGTGGAGAGAGGAGCTTGAGGCCGAAGTTGACAGATTATACACGGCCAAGGCAGGGCCTCGGTAAATCGGCTCCAGCAATGCCCGGCCCAGCAACTCCTTTCCACGCTCTGAGGCAGCCGCAGACTCGGAAGCCGACGCAGCAGCGGCTTCAGCATTTTTGGAATTGGGGGGGTCGAGTGAATCAGGAATTGCAGCCGAGGCCGGTGCACTGAGCACGCATGCACCGTAATTCGATGATTTTTTGCAGCTGTGAAGCCACACCCAGTCAACGTCCTCCCGGAAGTGCAGTGTGCTCCGTAGCTGGGTCATGCTGCATGTCTGTCCAGTTGGGCTCGACCTTGCTGCAGCCCCCTGATTCGTGATGCACGCTAGGTTGCTGAGGAAGCCAGGTTCAGGTACTGCATTCTCTCTCCTCTTTTCGCGCGATATGCAATGGAGCATGGGGTTCTTGACCGGGTTTTGTTGCCCTGGCTTCTACACTCAGTGACGAAGGCTCATCTTCCTCGCTCCGAGCTGCCAGCCTTTGTCGTGGAGTACTACTTGGAGCAGCGCTTCCCTCGGCCAGCATGGCGCTTGTGGAATGAGCTCCACGAAGACAGAGGGCATGTTCCGTTCCGTAATGTTCCATAGATGCAAATCCGAACATGCAAGGCCCGCATATGAATAAATTGCGTGTGTGATACACCTCAAGCCTTCCGAGGACCCTTCGCCCTTCGCCCTTCGCCCTGACCCGTCAATCCGCATAGTGGCATCATCCAAAGATCCAATGCTGATCGGTTCGGCTGGGCGGGATCTTCTGCACTTAACTTATTTCCGTCTCGGGACCGGTACTGACAGCCAGGCTGGGCACCGTCACTGCAGCGCAGGACCTGCAATTTTTTGGGGTGCCTGGGTAGCTCTGAGGATAGCTCTGAGGCTCTGGCCCACTCTAAAGGTGATTTTCGACTGTTGTTGCGATTGCTGGAGGATTTCTTGCTTCCCTGCCTAGCAGATGTCGGTAGATGAAAAGAGCGAGACAAAGAGATCGAGCGGTGAAGAGAGATTCAGGAAAAGACTGGGAGCAAGAGATAGAGCGAGAGACGGAGAAAGAGAGGGAATGCAGCAAGGGCCGAGAAGGACATGTATTGAGGGAACGCTGACCGCGAGACAGCCTCGCCAAAGCATGCCGTGCAGTTGCTAACCAGGTAGAGCCGGGGGATTTAGAGAGTGAGGGGGATAGTCGTGTCGAACTATTCCTCGTGCATGCTACGAGCAGTTGTTTTGCCTTCCAAGCCTCTCCTCCCGGATCTCATAGTCTCACCTCAAAGTAGTCGCACTAGTGGCTGTGCGGATGACACAAAGGCGGGGAAGCCACGGCTCTCCCTCCTTGCAGCCTGCAGCAAGCAAGCATTTGGCCTTGCATAACACGCCGTGACGAGGCGTGTGCCAACGTTTGCCAATCCACGCGACAACAGGAACTGGGGTGCTCGTCCTCGTAGTTTGTCCGGTGCATGAATGTCCGGCTGCCGCTTCATGTTGTGTCAGAGTGATATAGTCGCCTAAAGTCCGATGACAAGGTGGGCTACATTCGGGAATGCACAGCTGCCTTTCAGTTTGGGGTATCCCCCTTGTCCCTCGTCCGAAGCTGGTATTGACCACAGCTTTGGCCTTCACCTGTTCAGTCCGAGGGTACACTGTCATTGGACCTGCTTGTGGAGGGATGGATGGAGCTTTGCCATTCCCTCTTATCCAGGAAATGGTGGTAACTGAGTGAGTACTTGGGAAAGCAAGGTTCCGCACGGGTCGATTTATGCACCTAGCAATAGCATCTCGCCAACACGGGCATGCGGCCGGGCACAGCCCAATGCAAAGGCGACGTTGCTTCTTTGGCTTAGTACCGTGATGGGAGACTGTCGGGGGAAGAGCCTTTGTCACAAGAACTTCCGCGAGGATGGCACGCTGTGTTGCCCGTATGCTGGTTAGCCGGTGGCGGGCCTGCCTAGTTGCTGTTCAGAGGTCCTAGCGTCTGCAAGCAAGCGCTCTTGCTTAGCCGGGTCATCAGCTGGCCTTGGAACGTTGTGTCCTGGGCTGGGGCGTTCGCCAGCGTGAGGTCCCGTGTGGAGGAGGCAAGGACGCTTGCAGCCGGGAGGGATCGGCGCCCTAGGCAAGGCTTCCTGCACGTCCCACCGCGTGCGGGAGAGTCGCTGACTCACTCACTCATTTTGTGGTGTTCATGCTTTGCCAGTGGGATTGGGTTTGAGTGCATCTGAATGCCTATTGGTCGCGCGAGCTGACAACGCGAAGCACCATTAGTAGGTGTTACGTTGCAGCATATGCCAAGTGTCTGTTTCTGTTAGCTATTTTGCCGTGTGATCCGAGGGGTCTCCCTTGTTTGCTTGCGAACTGTAGAGGTGCATCTGTCGTCGCAGCCTTTGTCTGAAAGCATCCCCATGGCATGTGCGGGGCGCCTGGAGCGGGGGTGGACGTCGCTCCTCCACCTCTGCTCTGCGAAAGAAAAAAGAAAAAGGGAAGGAAAGAGGGATAGAGAGAGAGAAAGCAACAACTTTTCATGGCCCCACAAAGCCCACACAAAGGTGGGCCATGGTGGTCCCTAATGTCCCAGGGATTTCACAC